CATACATACATACATACATACATACATACATACATACATACATACATTACATACATGCATACATACATCCATACATACATACATACATACACATCTTCCCAGGAGCCCCCAGAGGTTCTCCTAATGAAGTAAAGCATGGTGAGCAAGCCACAACCAAACAAGCTCAGTTCAAGGCATCTTCTCGCAGGTCAAAGTTCCTGAGATCTTGATCTTGACTGAATTCTGAAGCTGCGAGTCTGGGAGCTGGGGCTGCCCTAGTGCCTACAGCTCGGCTTCACTTGGCAAACGAGGCTCTTGAGGAGAAAGTCGCACTGCGAGTGCAAGCTTCTGATTTCCTGCACTATCTAGATGAGCAAGGCGTCTCCATGTGTCAAACATGCTTTTCTTCAGTTACTGCAAAGCTTGTCTGGTCTCAGTGGGCCTCTCGCAGGGCGCCGAGAACCTACGCAAAATGGAGCCTTGTGATATGCTACATGGACGTGTCTCAAGAAAACGATAAACATGTCACTATGTCACGATGTGCTCCCTGCTGAAGTTGGGACAAAACTCTTGAGAGCATTCTTAAGTCTTAAGTTCACTGAACCAAGCACAACACGGAAGATTCTCTGCGGCTCCGCTACGCCTGGTTCAACGATCGTAGCTCCTCTCGACCTCCAAGCCATACAGCAGAGGGAACCACTGCTAAGGGAATAAGTTGATAACTCACTGCGGGCCAAAACCAGAAGAATTCCCCCAGAGGTACATCCACCATGCCCAACATCAACGTCCTTGCTTCGACGCATATTTAGAATCCAGCTTCGCTGAATATCTGCTTCCAGCTCTGCCTTTGCTGCCTCCGATGCGGAGACGATCATGATCGGACGTTGTGGCAAGAACTGGCGTCCGTTAAGCCAGGAACACCCAATCACAATTGTATCGCAAAATATCGATCAAGACCATCAAAATCCCATCGAACACATCTGAATCAACGTGTTGATTTCAAAATTCCCAGAAAGGATGTGCCTGCCTGCTTGCTTCCCAAGCTGCGATTGTCGGCCATCTTTTTCTGGTTACTGTTCTTCACGAGGTTCTCATACTCAGACTGCCCCTTAGCTTTGCATTGCTGCTTTTCAAGATAAGCTGGTGCATGCCCACAATAACAAAACCAGCCAAGTGATCCGCCACGGCATCTTGTGACTGGAGCATCTGCGTCTGCTTTTGAACATCCGCCTGTGGCCATTCTGAAGTAAACAAAGAGCTACAAACATTGACACAAAATGCCCTTTAATATGTTAATGACATCCATAGTTTAACTCTGCACACGGTCAGGAATGGGACAGAAAGAGAGAGAGAGAGAGAGAGAGCATTCTTTCACTCTGCCAAGGTGTCTGCGGCATTTGGCCTCTGAGTTCGGCGGCCATCCCATACGTTTCGCATGGCGCAGCGACACCAGCAAGTCTCAGAGTCTC